AAACACCGCTCCGGTGGGCCGCGGAAGAGGGGAGAACAGCAATAGTTCGGCTCCTCTTGAAACGAACCGATACCGATCCAAGCATTGCCGACAACAAAGGCCGAACCCCACTTAAGTGGGCCTCCCGAAATTGGCGTTTTGGGGTAGTTGGCAAAATGTTAGTCTACCGACCAAGCATGGTTCTACAAGCTATCCGACGGACCAAGCGCCATTAAGAGTGTATAACATAGCCGCGCTTGCTTCATACAAATGACATCCCCTCCGGATCTTCTTAATGAGGCTTTGTCACCCCCACCATATAACCTTAATGCACCTTGGATTCCTGGCTCTTCTTCCCCGTTGCATGCATTGAGTTTGACTGGAGAAGGGTGTGGTGGAGGATAGTAATGACTAGGTCATGGTCTCCTGTCACTGATCCTAATCGTGGGATTCGTGTTTCTGGAGGAAAATAGTGGACCTCAGTCTTATCCTCTTTTCCTTTCATTCTACTTACCCCTACCCCCCCCCCCCCCCATCTCTAGCCATCTCTTTACTGTCTGTAGTTATTCCTCTTCATCGGCTCACTTCTATGATATATTTTGTTTTCTATCCTACCGCGTTTCTTTTTTCGCCCTCGATCGGTGGTCCTCCCAAATTCAAATTATTGTAAAAGCACACCAGGTTCCTCACGATATCTGCCCTCCACCTCCTTTGCACGATCCCGTTTTCGTTATGTGTTGTGCGGTATGTGTCGGATATGATTTTGGACTGTAGAGATTCGGGTTGACCAAACCTACCCTTCCCTATTATGCTTGTATGATATGTGTCGTCACATCCCAGTCTTTAGCTCGGAACTCGACCCTTGGCCACACTTCCAGTGATAACCCTAAAACCCTAACATGTCATTATATTGTATCTCGTCCCGTAATATTGTCGTATTGTGCTTCTCGGGGGTAGGGTGGTGCTTGACGACCCTCAATTATCTGGCCTTATCATACAAAATTGCGCTCTCTGAACTGGATATAAGGGATTTCAAATTTATGCGTGATTCTCCCCACACCCCTGCGGACGATCGGCCGGCAGAGCTGGCCGCCTTGGTAAGTATTAGAAAAGCTATGCTAAAGAATGAAGAGGTGCGAGGCTAGGGATAAAGGATGGAAGAAAGGAGAATGAGAGCGGACTCTGCCGCGGTTAAGAAGAACGATAGACAAAAGGGTAAGGTATTATAAATTGCTTGTATATAGCGTAGTGCTGTGGGTGGATACTTCCGATTGTTAGAATCGAGCCACTGCTCATACCACCTAGCCCAACGATACCTGTAGCGAAACCAACAAAGGAAGATGTGTTAGCTTCGTTGCAGAAATATTGAAGACTGTGCAGACTTGCTCCTGGACATCTTCAGGTGAAGTTGGCGGACGTTTCCCCTGTTCGGCGGTTCGTTTAAATCCTAAGGAGAAGCCGGTTGCGGCTCCTACCGCTCCCGGTCTCCTTGAGAGGTGAAAAGTACAAAATTCGGGGGAACAGGGGAAAATCTTTATTTATCTTGAAATAGCGTTAAAAAACAAAAGAAAAGGGTAATTCTAATTGGACCTCACGCCGGGAGTTGGAGGGTTTCCCCCGGATTCGGGGAAACAAAGGCACTAAAGAATCTGGCTTCCAGCATTCTAACGGGAGTGTTAAGGAGGAAATTAATGCGGGGCCCTCGGTAGGAAACGGCAGGCCCAATGGCTGTCCTGTAGTTGAATTATTCCGGCTCCTTCTCCTTCTTTCTAATTTAGAGACTGGGTTGTTTGATATTGTAAGGAGTGTGAGGTTAGAATATCTGGGGTAGTGGGGTGTGGGTACCGTACACCAGCCTCTATTATCACGATACTATTACCATGGTTTTTTTCGGGGGCTTTTCTTTCTTCTTCTTCAAGATTAGGTGCGGTCACACATTTGCGACATGCAGCTTCTAAGAATTAGGTACATTTTGGTGCTTTTTCGTGGTTGTTGTAGAGGACTTTGGGGGGGGGGGGGGGCATGGTTTGAATGAAATGTGTATGAGTATCATAGTAAATTTATCATTGTTTATAAATTTAGTACTCGTACAGTACGGCGCGAGAGTTAGATGTAGTGTAGAAGCCGCGGGAGATGTGGATTCCAACCGATGAGATAAATCCCTAACCCTCTACTGCCTCTCGCACCCGTGGTGACAGCGGTAGCGCCAAACTTCCAAAAACTAAATGAATACTGATTGGTTTTATTAGCGGTATCGTAGACGAATTTCTAATCCCCCGGGTATTCCTAAAGCTTAGTCGCCGGTACCGATACTCGGTGTTGCCATCGGGGAGCGCCTATCAAGACCGCCTACCCACTGTGATACCTCTACCCCCTGCCCCCACACATTATTGTGCGGAAACCGGGTTAGCGCGATGCAATTCTTACTGGGGAATGTTCATCAAAAAATACTCGTACGGCGCAGTACAAGTACTCCAGAGGTGGACGATATAATTTCAAACCACGAAACCGAAGCAGACAGCACGATAAAATGGTCCGGTGCTGCCGCTGTAATCGAGTTGACGCCGGTATAAGGGCGGTGCTGTGGGAGTAGTACAGTGCAGTAATTACACGTAAACCTTCTTCAAGAGGGATCGGGGGGTGGGGGGGGCTGTGCGCCGTGGTAGTGTATGGCGTAAGCGAACTTGGGGGCTAAAGAGCCTCACTGCCACGAGCACGTTCCTGGTGATTGGCTGTTGGGTTGTGGTTGGTAGGGTAGCAGCCGCGTAATACTCACTCTTGCTTTACGATACCAAAAAAAACGGGAAGGGATTACCCGGGGAGGTTTCCACTTTTTTTTGTGGAAAGCTTCCAAGTCGAAAGTTGTCAGCCTCGGAGATCCTTACCCGGGCGGAAATGCTTGAGAGAGATGCTTGGGGTTATTAGCTCTCCTAGTTCAGGTTCTTGTTAGTTGGCGAGCAAGTGGTGTTGTCATTGGGACGGGTCTTTCAGCTACGAGTACGGTATTATACTTTCCTCCTGCAGATCGAAGATTTTGAACGAAAGGTGTGATTTTAACGGCGGGGATAATGATCTAATGTCTGCTGATGGGTGAGTGATAGTTTTTCTTTCACTATCATAATTATCATGTGGAGAGCGAGACGGGATGAAGCTCTCCAGCTTCTGGTATCTAGGTGTTTGTGATCGGGGGATGGGAGTTGGGGGGTTTGCCCTGCGGTGGGTGTCTCGATTGTGGTAAGCAGTCTAACGTATTCCACACTGTAGCGAGCCATCCACCCAAACACCAGCCACTATTCCAATCTCAACCGGCGTTCAACCAATCATGTTGCCCGGACTTGCAGAAGACTCGCTATGCCGGGCGCTCGCTATGGTGTGGAATACGTTAATATCATACTTGATTATTTCAAAAACACTTGGGGATCTTGGTATTTCAAACAAAGGATTAAGTAGTCCCAACACATACCGCCAAAATGCAGGAATTTTTCTGCGATCGCAATGCAATAGTGGTGGCCTTGGTAAGTGTAGTTCGATCACGGGGAAGTGGGAAATCGGGAAGTGGTTTGAGGCTGACACACTCCTGTTCGGCAGCACAACATCATTGTCTTGGATTAGTTTAAGTTAAGTCTATAAGTTACACAAGTACAGCACAGTACTCGAGTACTCGAGCAGGCTCCGGCTTCGGGTGGCACAGGAGTGCTTGGGTTGTCTGTAATATCGTAAATCGTGCGCAATGTCGACATGTAGGTACTCGAATACAGGAAAATAGATCAAGCGTTAACTGGCTACGCGTGTTTATTTGTTTTTTATGTCTATCAGCGAGGCTGAGTGCCCCGCATCTCGCTGTGTTGTTCGCCCTTTTTCGGGGCAGTGGACTTTCGACATCATGGCCTTGCCGGTGATTCTTCAAGCTTGAACTGCGCGACGACTCCCCCTTTCCTCGAAGAAACTCTTCATCATCATCGCCGCATGCGGTACCAACCTTACGATACACAAATGACTTCTAGCATCATGGGTGATACAACATGTCGAAATTCTAGCGGAATCAAGAGCATTAACGGCAGAAATGTGCACAATGGCTTCAAGGACACTTGGAGTGACTGCTCTATGGCATTAGCATTGGATAGGAAACGTGAGATACTGGAGCGGTTATCTTTGCTGGAGTCGCATGGAAGCCAGCAAGACAAAAGACACCAAGACATCCGGCACAGCAGAGTCAATGAGATTGGAGAATGGCTTTTACGAGCCGACCCATTTTTGAAGTGGCGGGATTGCAGGGTTAGGTCTGTTGATCAGACTCTGTTGTGTTGTGGAGGACGTGGTGTGAGGGGGACCAATCTCGGGTAAGGGAGAGCGAATTCTTGGGAGATGCAGTCTATCACTAACGATAATGTCAGCTTCGAGGCGATCGATAGCTTGTGTGGTGGGGCCGATAGAAGCAGTGTATCTGTCGTCGGTATTTATCGCAAGTTCCAGACCCAAAAATCGCAAGTCACGGAGCAGATGCTGGATAGTCTTCTTAAGCAGGTAGTGTGCGGGCTAGAAGGTATTCCTGTGGAGATTGATGGTGGGTTTCAGAAGGCGAAGCAAGGTCAAGATGGTCGAGGTCTTACGGTTGCCGAATTACTCAAGCTGCTGCGGGCGGGCCTCGAGTCCCAGAAACGGACTTTTGTGTGTACTCATGCCCTAGACGAATACGCGACAGAGTATCGGCCCGAACTGTTTCACTCGCTACGCTCTATAGCTAGGAATTCGCCAAATATTCGGCTATTTGTTACCGGGAGGCCTCCTATTCAGGCTGAGCTCGAGGAACACGAAACCAGCGCTCTGCGAATCATACCATTCAAGCCGGGGCAGGAGGATATCACACGATCCCTAGGGATGCGATTGCGGGACGATACACTTCTTGAGGAGATGGCCTGTGAGCTCAAGCGGGATATCATGAAAGTGATTCCGGAAACGATATCGGAGATGTACGTAGATAAAGCTCTCTTGAATGACCGGTACTGGGACACTAACGGTTGCTAGATTTCTGCTGGTTTCATTGGATATTACGGCGATATTGGGAGAGACTATAATAGACGCAAGGAAAGAGAAGCCCAGACAGGTGGCTAGAGGCCTTGGGCTAGAAGCTGCTTACGCCGACACTCTGAAACGGGTAGAGGAGCAGGGTGAGAATCAGTCGAAACTTGCCGTGCGAACATTGATCTGGGTTCCTCGATCCGAGCGGCCGGTACGAGTCGATGAGCTTTCCCATGCCCTGGTAGTGGAAACCGGGTCTATCCATCATAATCCCGATGAAGCTCCATCGATTCAGACCATATTAGGCTGCTGCTCAAGGCTTATCGCTTTTGACAGCGAAGCTTCGGTTGTGCGACTGAAACGCTTTACCTTCCTGGCGTATTTGTGCGAACATTCGACCATTTTCGCGAGTCCCCATGGAACCATCGCAGAAGTGTGTTTGACCTATCTCGGCCTCTGGTCCATCAAGGACCTATCGGCCACCACCTCCGGAGATATGATGAAAACTCCATTTCTTGAATACGCATCTCATGACTGGAGGACCCACGCCCGAACGGAAACCACAAGTGCGGGAAACTCATTTGCGGCCAAACTTCGCGATCAATTTGATACCGATATATCGGCTAGGTTGCTCCTTTCGAAGATACACTATGAGAAGGGATGGTTTTGGGACGGATATGAGGCCCGATACGCGAGGAATACTGGACTGCACGCCATACTATTCTTGGGAATTAGAGAGATCACAACCCCGTTACTGAAGGTCAAAGATAGGGATAGAAACGGAAGGGATTTCGCCGGCCGCATACGATTAACATGGGCTACGATGAGTGGAACCTTCCAGGTGGTGGATATGTTATTGGGTCTAAGAGGAGTGAGCGCCGAGGGGAAAGACAATGAAGGCTGAACAGCGCTCTCGTGGGCCACCGGGAATGGCGGCCAGTGGATAGCACTGTTACTCATGAAAAGCGACTCGACCACTTCCCGTATTGTGGATAGCAACGGCCGAACGCCACTTCTTTGGGCGGCGCAGAGCGGGAAAGAGGATATAATAAAGTTTTTTTTGGGAAAGGATGTGGATATCGATTGGGTGGACAACCTCGGCCAGACACGGCTCATATATGCGGCCGGAAATGGGCATGAGGGGGTGGTGGGGATTTTGCTGCAGAGGGGGAGAGCCAGGAAGGACACCGCGGACACCGACGATGGAACACCACTCTCGTGGGCAGCTGGTGGAGGGCTTGAGGGCGTAGTGATGTTGCTAGTCGAGTGGAAGGAGGTTAACCCCAATGCGACGGATATCCGATACGGCATAATGCTGCAATCTTGGGCGGCCGGCAATGGGTACGAGCAACTAATCAAATTAGCGCTCGTGCATCGTGAGATCATTCCGGAGCTGGTAGACAAAGGAGGCCGAATACTATGCTCGTGGGCAGCCCAGTACGGGGACCGGGGCATCGTGAAGATGCTAATGGGACGGCCACAGGTCAATCCGATGACCCGCGGTCACAATAGGCTGACGCCAACACCGTGGGCTACCGAGCACTGGTGCGGAGAATCTTGCATATCGCAGTTAGAGGAAGCCGGTTCCAGTCCCGATTTACCCGATTGCAATGGCCTCTCACTCCTCTCCCGGGTCACTAGCTGGGGGGATATCCGCCGTGCGGAATACTTGCCGTGTTGCAAAGAGGTTAACCCTGATTGCAGGGACGAAAATGGGCGAATGCCACTCTCGCGGGTTCCTCAAGGTCGTGACAAGGATATGGTACCGTTGCTTCTGCAATGTGAGAGTTCCGACCCTCATTGCAGAGACAAGGATGGCCAAACACCGATCTGGAGGGCTGTAGAAAAGGGGAGCTATGGGGTAGTGCCACTACTCTCAGAACGAACTGATGTTGATCCCGTTCTGCATGGCAAAAATGGTCAAGAAACGCTTGGGTGGGCTTGTGGGCTTATTTCCGGTGATCTTACGAGGTTTCTAGTAGG